GCCCGCGCCCCCGGCCCCGCGCGCAATGGGCGGCCCAGCCCGCGCCCGCAGCGCCATCCGCTGGCCCGCTGACGTTGCGAGTTCAGAATAAAGGGCAACTCGCGGAGCCGGAGCGAGCGCCGCTCCCCCTCCTTTGTTTCTGACTCACGGAGGGTAAACCCAGCCGAGAACGGCTTCCAGGGGAGCAGGGGGACCGAGACCCACGGTGGGAGCGAGAGGTGGAGCCAAGGAAGACACGGACCGAGCCTGCCGAGAGAGGCAGCAGGAGCAGATGAAGCGGATCCTACGGAGACACATAGATTTAGGAAGACCTGCGGTAACCGCAGTCTAGACCGTCTTCCTTACAAACCAAAAACAAGAGTGGGAGCTGGAGCGCGTGTTACCGAGAGCTGGCATGAGAATCCACGCTCACTCGGTGGTGGAGACAGCGGCCTGGGCAGGTCAAAGGCTGGGGGAAAGTTTTATGCTTCAGAGGGTATCGATGTGCTGGGAGACGGGTGGGAGAGCAGTTAATAGTAACACATTTTTTCTAGTTTGAAAGCGTTTTCTTATTTGAGCCTCAAGAGAGTAGCCCTGAGTGTGAGGTGGCTGTTGCAATCTGCATTTCGTAGAGAGGTGAGACTCACGGTAGCGGGGATTTGCAGGCACACACTAACTGCAGGCAGCAATAGAGCCCTGTCTCCAAAGCCATTTTCCATTATACCCAGTGGCTTTAAACGTAAGCTCCAGGTGATACCTGGGTATCCCACCTTGCAGCACCGACCTACACGGATGCCATCCCGTCTGGAGTCCACTGGAGGGAAGGGCTGAAAGCCCGGAAGATGCCTTGACTAGGGGAACCCCTGCCAATCCCTTCTACCGCCAGACCCTGGCTCAGAGCCTACAGGCCAACGCCTCGGTAACTTTTTTTTTTTTTTCCTCAATAGTTACTTGATGGGAAGAAGGGAGTTAGGAAACCGAGTTTGGGTAGTGGTGTCATTAACCGCTCTGTGGGCTTTGGTCAGGACCCTGAATTTCTTTAGGCCTCAGTTTCTCCACATATTCACGGGTGAGGGATAAACTGCCATTTCCATGAACAAGGAAAGCTGGGGGAATATATGTGATGACCCGTGAAAGTCCTTGGAAAATACAAGTATTGGCCCCCAGGGCTGATTGTTAAATAACAACCAGCTCATAATCACACTGCCTGGCATATGGTAGGTATATGGTAACCACAAAATGAAGAAAAATCCCTGGCGCGGAGGAATGGGAAAAATGCTTTTTCTGGAAATGGCCCAAGATAAAAGTGTTGCAGATTTATGGTTTGAAGGGTGGAGGATGCCTTGGCTTTTTCTGGTCTCTCAGATGAAGGCGGGGACCCCTCTCTGTTCCCAGCCCGTTTTCTGTAACCCTATAATATTGATCTCAACCTCTATTAACCACACTAATTAATTCCTTTACATGGATGCAGAAAATTCTCCTTTCAAAATGCTCTTATATATCATTTCTTTAAATCTTTAGTGCCACCTTGTGAGGTATATAGAATATTATTATTCCCACTTGGAAAATGAAAAAAACAGGGTATGGCGCATAACACCTGCCCAGGTTTACACAAAGTTCCCGGCTGAGCGGTTTAGAACCCAGGCTTTCTGATTCCCAGTTTACCGTTTAGGCTACACACACAGCACATTCCCCAAGCCCTCCCCTTCTCGTCCCACCATCTCTGTTCCCCACTCCCCTGTTTAAAAAATGATGACAAAACCCAGCATATCGTCACAGGTGAGGAAGCAAAATGTCCCCGTGTACTGGTGAAGAAAAGTAGCCTACATAATGATCTTTGGAGGGCTTTGCTGGCCAGGCAGATAAGAGCGGTTTGGATGTGTTATTTAAATAAATTCTGGTTTGTGGGAAAAAAAGTAATCCATAACGTTACCCAATCTTCCTCCTTTCCCACTAGCTTTCATTTTGTCAACAAATGTCTGCATGTCCCGTATGCAATGTAAGGAACCCTGGTGGCACTCAGCTGCTAACCAAAAGGTTGGCAGTTTGAACCCACCAGTCGATCTGCGGAAGAAAGATGTGGCAGTCTGCTTCTGTAGAGACCGCAGCCTTGGACACCCTACAGGGCAGTTCTGCTCTGTCCTGCAGGGTGGCTATGAGTCGGAATCCACTCCACGGCAGCGGCTGTTTGGGCTGCTCCTGCACTGGATCAGGCAGGAGCTGGAGCTTGTGGCACATCAGGCTGAGGGAGTGCTGAAAAAGAAAACTCTCCCAAGTAATTTTCAGATTCCAGAGCAGATGCATGTGGGCTGCAGAGCCTTCCCCGCCTGTCTGTTCCTTTAGATGTTACATAAATCTCTGGCTCCCTGTGGTTACCGTTGATGGTCCCTGATCCTGCCCCCTTCCCGCTAACCTGCTCCGCTGCACTGCCCCATCCTGCCATCCTGTCCCTCGTTCCTCACCACGCCCATCACTCACTTCTCTTCCTACACGCCGTAGTCTTCCCTGGCCCCTTCTTCTTCCCTCCCACCAGAGGAGGCTGCAGTGGTTCCTGAATTAAGATCTCTGTAGGGGACTGTTTCCAAAGGCCAAGGCATAGTGAGAAACCCGAGAGCAAGGACTTTGGGGTTCCTTGACACATTTTCATAGCACTGTCCTCTCAGTGCACTTGGCCCGACAGTATACACCAACCACAATGTAACTCTGAGGTCCAATTTTCTCGTTGGTGGCCATTAGATACTGGGAGGACGCAGGATGGGGTTACCCCCCTAACTGCACCCCTGGATAAGGCACACCTGCCTGTAGCTGCATTCTTTAGTTGAATATAAGCAGCTCTGCTTAAGGGAGGGAGAAGAGAGCCATCGAGATAAGGATTTGTGAATTGCTGCCTCCAAGTTTATTGGGCGGAAACTATTATCTAAACAGTTGTTCAACTAAAACAAATATCTTTGGCTTTTGTAGAGTAAATGGGACATAAAGGTTTTGCCCAGGGCACTTTGGGCTATGGGGGAGAAGATTATTAAAACTATATGAGACCTTCATTAAAATAATGTTTTTAAAGGGAAAAGATAGAAGGCCAGTCATAATGGAATCAGCTCTGAAAATCTTAAATATAAATGTTTGAGTCTTTGACCCTGAAGAAGAAATGTCAACTTCTGGCTTCAAACTCCCTGAGAGTGGGGCGTATTTCTTAGACTTTCTCATACCATTAGCGGAGCAGTATGGTAGCTGGTGAGGGATGAAGAGAATGGTGTAAGAAACATCTCGGTGTGTCTTCGTCCCATTCCACAGGGTCAACCTTCCCAAGATGAGGATGGGAAGGACAAATAATTCTGCCTGGAGGAGGCGGGATGGCGGTTATACGTATTTGAAAACACTATATAACTTGTAAAACGCTACATTTAAAATACTGCCTCCTGAGTGCAGTTGGTTTCAATGACTTAGAAAAAAATTTTTTTTAAAGGGACCCAAAGGGACCCAAAGTGGAAGAAAAAGGTGGATTTTAGCTGTAATATGGACAGAGGCCTTAGGGCGTCACATGAGTGTGTGTAAGGTAAAGGAACAAGGACTGAGAGCTGGGAGGAATAGAGAAAAGAAGACAGAATGATCACTCAGCTTTCCTATTTCTTCAGCTGTTGATTAGTGGAATGGGAGGGTTGACAGGAATCCAATCTTAGATCCTCAACTTGGAGACAGGAATCAATCTTATATTTATTATTATTAGCCAGATGTATGAAGTGCTTACTATGCACCGATGTTCCGAGTGCTTTACATGCGTTAGCTATTATTTACTCCTTACAATTCTATGAGGAAGGTACTATTCCCATTTTATAGATGAGGAAGCTGAGCCACGAAGAGGCTAAGTGACATTCCCAGAGTCACATAGCTGTGACACAGATTTGGCCCTAGCCCTTCTGACTCTACTCGTTGCTGTCGATTCCGACTCATAGACTCATAGGACAGAGTAGAACTGTCCCATAGGGTTTCCAAGGAGCAGCTGGTGGATTCCATCTACTGACCTTTTGGTGAGCAGCTGAGCCCTTAACCACTGCACCACCAGGCTTCCTTTCTGACTTGAGAAAATATTTATCAACATAAAAGTGTATATATATATATATATATTTACAGAGAACCAGGGAGGGACTGTGCTGTGGTGTTTTCGCGGTGATGACTTAAAAACGGGTTGCCGTGAAGTGCATTCTGACTCACAGGGACACTACAGGACAGAGCAGATCTGCCCCACAGGTTCCCAAGGCTGTCATCTTTATGGAAGCAGACGGTCACATCTTTCTCCCGCGGAGCGGCTGGGGGGTTCAAACCGTCGACCTTTTGGTTAGCAGCTGAGCGCTGAACCACTGCGCCAGCAGGGCTCCTTGTAATGGTTTAAGGACTCCTTAATCCCCTAACATTAATAATACCATCACTTTCCGCTGCTTTTAAGAGAAGTGAAACCAACACCAGATTTTGTTATTTGCCTTGACACATTTTAAATATCCTTCGGGGAGAGGCAATACCCTTCTCTCTGTTTGGTGTGACGCCAGCTCAGGCCCCACCTCGTGAACATCCACAGATCGTTATCAACCCCAAAGAAACAACAACCAATCACTTGTATCTCTTCACAAACCGATTTTTATTGTGATCATACATGGTTTCTCAGGGCCAGAGAAACTTGCAATGGGGGACAATTATTAGCTGTCTCTCTAGAGGAGCCCGGTGAGCTTCCAGAAATGAGTGGTGCGGGAATGTGGTTGATGAAAAGTCCGAGGGGTCAGCGGGGACGGAGCACGTGGAGGAGTGTGGAGTGAGCATCAAGTGGTCCCTTTGTTTAAAACTCCTCTAGGCTCTGATAACCCTTTCCTCAAGATCCCAACAAAACTCATCAGAAATGGAAGTGCTACCAAATACGCAAGGAACACATTTATTTATTTCATAAAGAAACCAGGAGGAAAGCCTGTTGGATGGGCTCAGACTTATCCTCAGCTCATCATGCGGGGTCTGTGTGTCCATGCTGACGGTTCAGGAATCAGCGGGCTCCCGGAGATGGCCGAGATGGCTGCTAACAAGCCGCACAAAACCTCACGCGTCTGGGGTGGCGACAGCCTGCGGTGTCCCCCGCCTCTCCATCATCATTTCATCTCCTGCTTGCGGATCTCGCTGTAACCTGGGAGCCCTCCTTGCTTCGGCCGTGCAGTCCAGAAGCCAAAACTTCCTCTAGGAAACTGACAAGTAAATTTCAGGTTACTAAAAGGGGGGAAAGAAAAAGCACCTCCAAAGACAGAGTATCTTGCTCACGACAGTGAAGCAGATGGAGAGCTGCCGTGAGCGGCCTGCAAGGTGCGCTGGTCTGGCATGTTGGTTGGTGCAGAAGCCCCAAACAGCACCCCGACATCCAGACTAGAAGAAGGGCCCCCGGTGCTCCTCCCCAGGGTCTTCTCCGTGTGTTTTAGGATTTAACTCATAAGATTTGTTGAGACTAATATTTCAAGTTTGACATTTCTAGTTAGGAACCCAGAATTTCAAATGGGCTTGCTGCACTGTGGTGGCTGCGTGTTGCTGTGATGCTGGAAGCTCTGCCACTGGTATTTCAAATGCCAGCAGGTCACCCATGGTGGACAGGTTTCAGCAGAGCTTCCAAACTAAGATGGACTAGGAAGAAAGGCCTGGTGATCTACTTCTGAAAATTAGCCAGTGAAAACCTTATGGATCACAACAGAATATTGTCTGATACAGTGCTGGAAGATGAGCCCCCTAGGTTAGAAGGCACTCAGAGTACACAGTGGCTTCAACAATGGACTCGAGCTTCCTAACGATCATGAGGACAGTGCAGGACTGGGAAGTGTTCTGTTCTGGTGTACGTGGGGTCGCCACGAGTCACAGCCGACTCAAAGCCAACTAACACCTCACCACCTCTTCTTCGCATGCCTGAAGTGGCCTCAGAACTCGCTGCCTCTTGGCTTCCCCCGTATTCAATCTGCTCTCCCGAGGGGCAGCAGAGTTCCCTTCCTAAGATGACATCCTATCGCATACTCTCCCTTCCGCTTCCGCCTAAAACCCTCCTGTTTACAGAGTAATGTGTGGATTACAATGCAAGGCCTTCTTGATGTGGCCTACTAATAACTAATACATTGTGTTTACTTTGTTCTGGGAACTGTTATAAGGCACATGTGTTTGTGTATATATATGTGTGTATTAAGCCCTATCAAGTAGATGCTACTATTGTCCCCATTTTTTAAATGAAGAAACCAGGTTATAGAGAGGTTAAGTGACTTGCCAAGGTCACAACAGCTGGGATTCAAACCAGGGTCTAGAGTCTGCGCCCATAGGTACCCCGCAACACACCTCACTCATCGGGTTCTGTCTCCCACGGGCAGCCTGTGTGCTCACCAGGCCCGGCCACTCACTGCTCCCTAATGTGTCATCAGCTTTCACACCCCCAGGCTTCTGTTCTTACTGTGGTCTCTGTCTGAAATGACAGGCTAGTCCATCTCTGCCTGATGAAACCCTTTTCATCTGTTAAGTCCAAAAGTCACCTTTTCTGTGAGGCCTTCCCAAACCTCCGCATGCTGAACTAACCACCCCCTCCGCTATGATCCCCTTGTCCACCGCGCTATTTTTGCTGTGTGTTATTATTAATTAGGTTCTGTATATATACAGGGTTCCCTTCCGATGATCCGTCGTCAGTCAGCTCTGACGTAAGTAGAATACTTTTTTTTTTTTTTTTAGTTTTCATTATTATTGCCTTTTATTATCAGTATCTTATAATCTGATCTTTACTTGTCTTTGGGAATAGGAAACATTACATCTGAGAATGATGACATCAGCAAATCACACGCAGCAACACGGTATGCAGTACGTATTACTAACGATAAGATGTACAAAAAAACAAATCCCAGAACAGACGGTCGGGAGTGCAGCTGGTCATAACCTGAATACACTTTAAGTCCGGGACTACCCGCATCATTGTTGTCTATACAGACGGGAGCTCCTGAGGGTGGGAATAAGTCTTAGTCAGCTTTGTATCTCCAGGGCTTGGAACAGAGGCTGACATCCAGCAAGTACCCAATAAAGGTGTGCTGAAGAAATGAATCAGTTAAAACAGCTACCCACTCGCAAGAGAATTTTCTCTATAATATTGGGGTTATTTGAATGATACTTGTAAGTAAGTCCAAGACTCTATATCAGAAGGAGACAGATTCACAGTTGACAGAAGATTGGAGGAACCACCAGGTCTCTTATTATCAACGCTGTTTCGTGGTTAAAGCCTGGAAGATTCCGGGCTTGGAGTATTTAAGTGGCAAACTCCTTCGCAAAAGAACAAGCTGGTGAAGTGGACTGGAAGCGGAGTTCATTTATCCCTCTTCTGAAATATGGGCACCTCACTCTGACCTGGGTTTCGGCCATTTGGACTGGAGACCCCTGGGCGTTGGAACGACGTCAGGAGCTGAGGAGGTTCTGCTTTCCTGCAGACAAGCCGGCGAGCCTGTGACTGGTGACTGAGCGAGAGTCGAACAAACCTGCTCGCAAGCCCTAGAGGAATTTATCCCGCAGCCCTCGCTTCACTTCAGAATCTGCTACGTGTCCAAAGGAAAGAAGTAACTTTTCTGAAATCATACTTAAAGATCCTCTGCTGTGTATCAAGACCCCACGTTCCTGACGGCAAAGAGAAAACACTATCTATATTCACCAGGCCTAATTTTGTTTCCTAGGGCTGTTGCGACTTTTTAAAAAGTATCTATTTGGGGACTTTGATGAGTCACTGCACAGAATGCTTAAAAATTATGGGTGATTAACATATCGGTAGCTGTATCCCAAATTTAGACTATGTTTAAAAGCAACAAAACATAAATGATTTTTCTTTTGTAGGTTCGTTTTAAACCAATCTCACTTTAAAAGCAAACTCAGAAAGTCCCTTCTCCTGTGACACTAGGATTCAATTCAATTTAGCAAATGTTTACTCAGCACTATCAGCTAGGCGCCGAGCTAGGTGTGTGAACACCTGTTACGACTCCTTCCTTTAAGCAGCTCTCAGTCAGAGACAGACACACAACTCCACGGAGACCTGCTATAGAGAGAGACGGTACCGAGAGTTAACCTGGTGGGTGGATGCTATTGCTTTTCTAGGTTTGCGCTGCCCTAAGGGGTGCTTTCCGGACTCCCTGGATAGAAGGAAGGTGGGAGAAAAAGGCAGAACCTCAAAACCCTGACAATATATTTTAAAAAGTCAACCTCAAAAAGTCTAGCATCACACACTGAGAAGCAAACTTCTTCACTTTGGTAAAGGTCTAGGGACGAACCCTTCCGGGATTTTAGATTTTAATCACTAAACTAATCCAACTGAACAACTGTGTTCCCACACAAAGCGACATTTAAATTACCAAAGATACATCCACCTCCTTTTTACTCCACAGACAGAAATTACATGTGAGTTTCTTGTTACACCAAAGCCGCCAAGGGAATCGAGAATCAAATCTGAAGAGCAGTATAATGAAACAAGTGAATGGAACTTCTGGGGAAGCATGAAAAAGGTTTTCAGGAAAATAATGAGAAAAGGCCCAATATATTTGCTTTAGCGGAGTAATACGCTCCTCCTTATCACGGCCAGACGCTTACCTGCAGGTGCTGGGGTTGGGATGGGTGAGGGAGAAGGACAGGATGGAGCTTTTAATATCTCAAAACACTCAACACTCTCCGCATCTCTCCCCTCCGTTTCCACCACTTCCAGTTTCGGGGCCAACTGCCACGTTTTATACCTCTTTGCGTTTGTGCATACTAACCACTGCCCGGAAGGCTGCCCCATCCCTCTGCATGTGAAAGCTATTCATCGTTTAAAACCCACCTCTGAAACTATCACTCCTCCAGGAAGCTTTCCTTAACTGCACTACCTTCTCCTTAGACTGATGTACTCGTTCTTCCGTATCTTGTGAATGCACTTGCCCTGTGCTGTGATCTGTCTGCGGTCAATTTTCCATGTAAACCTATGAGCTCTTGGAAGGCCCAACTAACACACGAACTCTTTTTGCAGAAGTTTTGAACAGTACACATAGAGCTCAAGTCTTCCTTAACTCTTCTTCCTGTTACTCTTTCCAGAGGTAACAACAATTTTGTCAACAAGTATTTACTGAGTGCCTACAGGCACTGTTCTAGAAGCTATGGATACAGCAATAAATGAAGTAAAACAACCTCTGCCTTCGTGGAATTTATATTCCAATGGGAGAGGAAGGAAGATAAACAAAATTATTAAAATAACAGCACAACGACAGGAACAGCGAACACATGTATCACTCTCCATACGCGAGGTACTGCTCTAGGTACTTTGCACACATTAACTTATTTACTCCTTACAACATCTACAGATAGAAACGATCCTACTTCACAGAGATTGAGGCACAGAGAAGTCAAGGTCTCGCATCCTGAGAGTGAGAGTTGGGATACAAACCCGGGCAGTCTGGCTTCCCAGTTTGTCCTCTTAACTATGATGCCACGCTGCCTCTCTGCAGTAAGTTAGGTGAGGAAAATGTTGAGGGGCTGTTAGTGGTATGAGGCGTTAAATCCAGGGGTCAGGGGACACCTCGCTGAGAAACTAACGTTTGGGCTAAGACCAAAAGGAGGGAAGGGGACATATATCAGGGGGAAGAGTGTTCCAGGCAGAGGGAACAGTAAGTGCAAAGAGATGAAGGCCTGGTATGTTCGAGAACAGAGTGGAGGCCGGTGTGGCTGGAGTGAAGTGAATACAGCACCGAGTAGTAAGAAATAAGATCAGAGATGTTAAGGTGGGAGACGGGTGAGTGTGGGGATGAGATCAGGCAGGGCCTTGCCGGTCAACGTAAGGACTTTGGTTTTTACTGTGAGTAAGATGGGAAACGTTTGGGGGGTTTTGCTCAGAGATGTGATATGCCCTGAATTATGCATTTTAACAGGATCAGTCCACTGCTACATTGAGAACAGACGGTAAGGGGGCAAAGGTGCGACAGGGAAACCAGCTGTAATAATCAGGGAAACAATAGTGGCATGGACCAGGGCAGTTGTGGGGAGTGACGGCCAGATTCTGGACACATTTTGAAGGTGATAATCCCGGGATCTACCGATGAACCAGTACGTAGGTGTGTGGGGAAGAAGGGAGTCAAGACACCACCAAGGTTTTCGACCTGGGCAACTGGAAGGATGCACGCGCCCAAGGTGGGAAATCCGAGGGAGGATTAAACATAGGAAGAAAGAGCAA